TTTTGATGACAGATTTTATTGGTCGTATTTTGTTGAAATTTCTTTAAATATATATTTGAAATTAACTTAATCATATTAAACTCAAATAACTACACAATGAAAAAGTTGCCGGGTCCGCGCCAAAATGTCATGGTGGTGTCAAGGGAGGTGTTTCGTAAAACACAGATATCGAGCAGATTTTAGTTATAACCAATAAAAACCATTGTTAAATGGAATCTAAACAGATTATGTATCTACTTACCAAAAATTACAACACAAAATCACAGTAAAACAGTAAAATCACACACAATATTTGTCGATGCAGCGGAACACAGAGCACAGAGCGAAGGGAACACTGATCAGTGCTGCCACCTGACCTGCCAAACCGAAAAATCTGCCTTTAAAAGTTTAAGAATCTGTATAAAATTTCTAAACGCTAAATAATAAAAAAAGGGAAAAATAAAATAAACTCTAAAAAATTATATTATAAATATTTATTCCTTTTAATACATATTTTTATTCATCTTTCTAATAAGTTCCTTACCCACATTAAATTTATAGCATATCTCATTGTTTAGCAATTGCTTCGTTAGTTGCAGCCCTTCTGTTGTATTAGTACATGTTTTTGTTTTAATTAAGTTGATTGACGAAAATATCGTTTCTACTGCAGCGTTGGAATGGGGAAGGCATAATAAAGCGGTAACTAGCTTTACTACGGTGCTTTAGAATTGGATAAAGATATCCGTCACTGTTTTGTGCACAAAAATCTTTTTCCAGAAAACTTCGGAATCTTCTTCATTGCAATCCAAAAGACTATCATTCATTCTTAAATGGCGCCACACATTGTCTAATGTTTGTAAATTTTCTGTGGATCAGACAAGGACATGGCAACATTTACACCAAGATATAGAACTTCAATAATTGGTTTGTAGTGTGTCGTGAAGCGAAAGTTAAAAACTAAAGAACCTAACCTAACAACGAAACAACCAAAAAAGAAAATAATTTATTTAAAATTTGTAAAGATATTTACAGTTTCTTTTATAAAATGTAAAGCCACAATTAAAAACTATAGAACCTAACCTAACAACGAAACAACCAAAAAGAAAATAATTTATTTAAAAAAATTGTAAAGATATTTACAGCTATTATTTTATAAAAAAAATATTATTTTTTTTATAAAAAAAAAGGTATGAGGGTGATGATGGGCTGTAGTGATGATAGTGAATTACAATTTTTAAAAAAAATAAAAGTTAATAAAGATAAATGAGTACGGAAACAATGTATGTACAGGCTATGCCTGTGGTAGATGCACAGCGCCTAATCTAGGTACACGCAGCGCTTGAAGTAGGCACACACAGCGACCAGAATGAGCACACACAACACCCGGAGTAGACACACACAGCGCCTGGAGTAGACACGCAGCGTCTGGAGTAGGTCCACGCAGCGTCTGGAGTAGGTACACACAGCGTATTGAGCAGGTACACGCAGCACTTAGAGTAGGCACACACACACCGCTCGGAGTAAGCACACACAACTCCCGGAGTAGACACACACAGTGCCCGGAGTAGACACACACAGCGCCCGGAGCACCGGAGACACGCAGCGTCTGGAGTAGGAACACGCAGCGCTTGAGACAAGCACGCTCAGCGGCCGAAGATAGCGCGGGCACTAGTAGGTGGAGGCGTAGGCGTGACTAGGCGACGACTTCAGGAGAAGGCAGAGGCTTGCAAGATCCCGAGGCAGTGCGGATAAAGCCTTTAAGAGGTGCTTCTCGTATCAAAGCTGAAGTGAGAACCTCTATTGGCCGATTCTTCGGCTTTTATACTTTTTGACGGATCTGGGATAAGAACGAGAAATTATTTGAAATTATTTAAATTAAAAGCAAATTTTTGTAAATGGCCAAGAAGAAAAGAGTATTTTTGAAGTAAAAACATCAGGCCGGTAACGATATTTGAATAAAAATTGCCATGACAACCAGATAAACAACGATGTCAAAACATGTCAAATTTTGGTTTTAGGCTGGTAATAGAGAAACGGCAAGATTTAAGTGAAAAATGAGATATTATTGATATAGGAAAAAAGGTAGCGCAACAGTGCGCACGAAGCCCGAAATTGCAGAGTTACGGAGAACTAAATAAAAGACCGAAAAAGGTAGACTCCATTGACATCGATTTAAAAAGTGCTGATAACGTGAAAATACGACGTGAAAATGATTTGTTATTGTGTTCTTATGGTTTAGAAATGTTACAGGTACCTATGGAAATAAAGGTGATGCAAAATATCCAGTTTTGAGATGAATGCAGAAAATCAAAAACAGAATGGAAAAATAAATTTAAAATAGTGTAAAATGGTATGTAAGTAGCATAAGACTACAAGTGTCGGATTATCATCTTGATTATTCTGGATTTCCGTTCGCGTTAGGTATGAACTGTCCATGTAACAGTCTGGAAGAGTTTATATAATATGTATTGCTCACATGCTCATGGAATTTATGTGTCTGCGGTTTTTATGATTGCATTGTTTTATAGAGTTTGGTACAGAAATCTAAGACAAATTCCATAAACTGCAAATATATTTTGTTGTACCGATTATTGAGCATGTGTAAAATCAAGTCTGCTGAGTTTAAGCCATTGATTTACATATTTTACTAGGTCAGTAATAATCGCGCCAAAGCGTTTCCACCGCACATATGGCCACAGCCATATGCCTAGCTAACGTCAGTTCAGTGTTCAATGTGACGCCGACAGAAATGGGTAAATGCGAAATGAAAGAATGCTATTCAAGGTCACAAAAACGTAAAAAATCAAGCGGAATCACTTTCAATACATAATTTTTAGTTCTTGTTTTCATATAAACGTAAAAAACCTCAAATAATTAAATAAAATTATCGAATATTGCCATTTAGGTTTAATGTTGCCACTTTTCCGCATTTGTGATTATCCTACATTAATGGGAGACTATATAATTAATGGAGTAAGTTAATTTGTTACCTCTGATTTTAAATATTTTAGAAATTATAATAAAAACTACGTTTTAACTTTCATACAAAATAATCAATTAGTTTTATTTTAGTTTATTCATGAATTATCTATTAAATGTATTTTATTACCTATTTTATATTAATAATTTTATATTAATTATAATTTCATATAAAGTTTATATTAATTATATTTTATTATTTATTTTACATTGTTTGATTTATTAGTATAATAAAAATACTTATTATTTTTATAAGTTGTTTTATTTCATTATTATGTTTACTTCTATTCATCTGATAAGCTTTGTATCCTTTTTTCTAAGGAGACGCAATAAAGAATTTAAAATAAAATATACTTTTTTAATATAAAAACAATTAACTGCAGCTTTAAAAACTCATTTTTATTGCGTATTTTAGGTAAAATTTCATATAGTAAGTCACACTAACCCGCCGTTGCATGTTTGTGTGTCTATCTTTATTTAATCTTAGCGATATTGTTTTCGCAACTTGTGTAAGTGAGATAAATATATGTTTATTTAAAATTGTTATTAGTTTCAAAGCTACGTCGTCGCGTTTGAATAGTGGTTACACTTTTTTCGACGCGCGGTAATGTGGTTTGCTCCTCTAGTATTGTATAACTCAATGGTTTAAGCGGTCTGTAAAAGCAGCATCGGTAAAAAATAATTTATAGTTCATAAAAGTTAGCTTGATCTCTGCGACAGTTGTCAGTAAAATCACGCCTATGAAGTCCTGAATTTCTTAGTAGTACAAACACGTAGAGAGAGAATGCTATTATATAGGATTCTCTGTCTACGTACAGACAGTAACTGTCAACGTCATACTTTATGGACATGCGTATATGCCAGTATGACATTGACAGGTACTGTCTGTACTACTGAGAAATTCAGGACTTCATAGGCGTGATTTTTACTTACAGCTGTCGCAGAGATCAAGTTGTCTTTTATGAACCATAAGTGCTTCATATTATTCCAAAATTATTATTATTATTGTGGGGTATCAACATAGTTTTCTCATCTGGTTGGGTTCTATAAATATATAATTATAAATGAAAATGAAAAGATAAATATACATAAATATCAATAACATAAACTAAATATAAAAATAAATAAATAAATAAAAGCTCAACCAGATGAAGGCCCTCGGCAGGGGAGACCAAACGGCCGAGGGTTAGGGGGAAAGGGAAAGAAACCGGCGGACGATGCGGGCGGTATCGAGGAGCACCGCCTTCTGCATTTGAGCCTGGAGCGGTCCGCCACGTAGTCCCAGCCGCCTCAGATGACGAGAGGCTGACTGGGATTAGCCCGTTCGCAGAGACGACTACAGGAATAATTTCGGTCGGCAGACCACCCCACATGTCGGTCACCTCGTGAGCCAGGTCCAGATATTTTGTTTGCTTATCTGTTTCGGCTTTCACGAGGTTCTCGTCATACGGAATGGTAATGTCGACCAAAAATATCCTTGACTGTGCCCGGTCCATCAGCACAATATCAGGCTTATTCGCAAGAATAGTCCTCTCTGTGATGATGGCCCGGTCCCAGCCTGATTTTTCGAGCACGGTTTCCGGCAAGTACTTGTAATACGGCAATTTTCGATCCACGAGACCGTATTTCAGAATGAGCTCCTGGTGAAGAATTCTGGCTACTAGGTTGTGCCTGTGCAAGTACTCAGAGTTAGAAAGCGCCGAACAACCGGAGATGACATGCCTAAGTGACTCACCTGGATGGCGACAAGCTCGACAGATGTCGACGGTGCCATCCTTTAGGATTTATCTCCGACAGTTGTTGGTTATTATTATGAGGTTTCAGTGCAAGGAACTCTTGAAATTCTCTTAATACACCCGATCATTTTGGACTCGTACTGATGTAATTGAATATATCTCTAAACAGGTCTTTAGGTTCCCGGGGTAGCTTTGTGCAGGCGTATGATGCACATGGAGCAAGTGAGTGGCAAATGCATTTCATAACATACACAGATTGGGTATATCTATAAGTAATCTAATGGTTATAGAATTATGCTGACCCACCATTGCATTTGCTCCGTCAGCGGCGAACCCAACCATATTATTTTTAAACGGTATATCATTCTCTGTGAATAGTTTTACAGGTTGGTCATACAATTTTTCGCAAATAGTATCTTGCAGGGGTACAAGACCAAGAAGCGCATCTTTTATTCTGTTGTTCTTATAGTATCTTACAACGATACATAAAAGATTAATACATCCTCTATCTGTACTTTCATCTATCATAATAGAAAACTTGCTGGTTTACAAATCGGCTACTAGGTTTTCTTTTTCCGTAGCACCGGTCACAGATTTTATAATCGCAGTTGTTTTCGTCCGACTACAGGCAAGTTCTTTTGCGATGGTACTATCTTTACATATAGTTTTTATTCATTGAGGAAGGTGTTCCATAACCTTCATAGAAAGGTTGTGTTCGGCAAGAAAACAGGCTAAAAGAATTTCACTTCTCTTAACATCATCAGCATCTTCAAAAATATGTGACAAGCTTTTGGGCACACGAAGTGTCAAGCATTGACATTGAGGCTTGGTGTATGCAGAACCTAAACGCCGTCTACTACCATCTCGAACGGCGAGGCCGGCTCTGCTCTTTCTGACCGAGCCGCAGGTGTCTTCTCCGGCTGATATCTCGTATCTCTCCTACTCGGGGTACAAACTGGAACACTCCTTTGTGCCTCGGGCTGGAGTTTGCGTTTACGTCAGAGAGGACATCTGTTGTCGACGCCTTGGCAGACTTGAAGGTTCGGATCTGTCCATTCTTTGGCTACGCGTAGACAGCGACGACCATCCGCACGTCTACGGGTGCCTCTATAGGTCCCATAGTGGTAATGCCGAAACAGACCGACTCTTCGACCACGTCCAAATGGCTACAGATTCGTTGCTACAGCAGATCCCCTCCGCAGAGATCGTGATCCTCGGCGACTATAACGCCCATCACGCCGAATGGCTTGGTTCAAGTTTAACCGATCATGCGGGGAGAGCTGTTCATGATTTTGCCTTGGCATATGGTCTGACACAACTGGTTACTTCGCCTACGCGGATTCCAGATGTGGAGGATCATACACCTTCCCTGTTGGACCTTCTGCTGACCTCTCACCCGGACAGATATCAGATTTCCGTCAACGCCCCTTTAGGCTCCACGGACCATTGTCTTGTCCGGAGTGTGGTGCCACGCTGAAATCGCAGTTGTATTCCGCAGGCTGCCGCCGTATTTGGCACTATAGGTCAGCCGATTGGGATGGAATGCGGCCTTTCTTTGCATCCTACCCTTGGGGGCGGGTTTGCTTCTCGCCGGACGATCCCAACGTTGTACTGCTTCGGATTCTGTCGCTGATGTGGTGCTTCAGGGTATGGAACTTTTTATTCCTTCCTCTGTGGTGCCCATTGGAGGCGAATCTCAGCCATGGTTTGGTCGCTCTAAAATAGCATCATGCTATAAGCGGGAGTGCTACCAAGCCTGGGCTGACGCATCAACGTCCGGGGATGTAAACACCGGCGCTCTAAAAAAGAAGTATAATTCCGCCTCCAGGTCCTTCAAAACAGTCATTGCCAAGGCAAAGTCAGAGCATATAGGCAGAATCGGCGAGAAAATAGTTCGACTTCCTTCTGGAACCCGTGCATTCTGGTCTCTCGCCAAGGCTGTCCAGGGGAATTTCTGTCAGCCATCTCTTCCATCTCTGCACAGGGAGGATAACTCACTGGGCCATGACGCAAAGGAGAAAGCCGATCTTCTAGGCTCTTTCTTTGCGTCCAACTCGACTCTCGATGACGAGGGAGTACGCCGTCGACCATCCCGCGGTGTGAGTGCTCCATGCCGGAAGTGCAGTTCACACAGCGCTCGGTTCACAAAGCACTCCTCTCCCTGGACATCCACAAGTCGAGTGGGCCTGACGGAATCCCCCCAATTGTGCTGAGGACGTGTGTTCCAGAGTTCGCACCGGCTTTAACGCGTCTTTTCCGGTACTCCTACTCCCTAGGCGTAGTCCCAAAATCATGGAAGACTGCTTTCGTCCACCCGATCCCTAAAAAAGGCGACCGCTCAGACCCGTCCAACTACCGGCCTATCGCCATCACCTCCTTGTTCTCCAAAACAATGGAGTCCATTGTATACTGCCAGCTCATGAGGTACCTTGAGGATCACCAGCTGATTAGTAAGAAGATGCCTCAGCCAGTATCGGAATCCTCGGCGTCGACATATCGAGTGACGTGCAGTTTCGTGGTCACTTGGAAGAGATGGCCAAATTGGCCTCTAAAAAGCTTGGCATGCTCAGCAGAGCGGGACAGTATTTCATGCCGGCACACCGCCTGCAACATTGCAAGGCGCACGTTCGGCCGCACATGGAATACTGTTCCCATCTCTGGGCTGGGGCTCCCCAGTACCAGCTCCTTCCACTTGATCGCATCTCATCATCTCGAATCGTCTACGACCGAGTGTTTTCCGATCGGCTCGATTCACTGGCACTGCGAAGAGATGTTGCATCTCTTTGCATTTTCTTTCGCATATATCATGGAGAGTGCTCTGAGGAATTGTTCGGATTAATCCCAGCCGCCAAATTTCTTGAACGCACTACGCGGCAAACGTCCCGATACCATCTACACCATCTGGATGCTTGGCGGTGCACCACTGTACGTTTCAAAAGGAGTTTCCTTCCGCGTACTCTCTGTGGAATAGTTTACCACCGGCGATTTTTCCGGACCGATACGACCTGGGGACCTTCAAGAAAAGAGCTTACTCCTTTCTAAAGGGCCGGCAACGCACCTGCAATTCCCCTGGTGTTGCGGTTGATCATGGGCGGCGGTTGTCACTTAACATCAGGTGAGCCGCATGCACGTTTGCCCCCTCTTCTATGAAAAAATAAAAAGAATCAGCGTTGGTGATAGCACGCAGCCTTGTGGAATACCAGCGTTAATGGGCTTGTAATCGGATCATGCACCGTTTACGTTTACGTTTGCCCACAAAAACTGGTGATTCGTTTGCACAATTTCTCGGGAAGCCCATAGGAAAATCGAATGCCTTCGCTATGTCCTTAGACTCTAGTGCCTCCGCCTATTTATGAGTTAGGTAACCCAGAAGATCACCAGACGAGCGACCGCGACGGAAACCATACTGACAGTCACTAAACAGCTCACGGTACTGTATGAGCTGGCTGTTAATAATAGATTCCATTATTTTAGAGAACAAGGGTGATGGCGAAAGGCCTATAGTTAGTCGGATAAGAGCGGTTACCTTTTTTAGGGATTGGGTGGTCTACCACGATTTTGGGACTACTTCTAGGGAGTAGGAGTACCGAAAAAGACACGTTAAAACCGGTGCCAACTCCGGAGCACACGTCTTTAGCACAATAGGAGGGACGCCCAGGCCCACTCGACTTGTTAATGTCCAGGGATAGGAGTGCTCTGCGCACCGAGTGTTGGGTAAACAGCACATCCTGCATGGAGCACTCACACTGCGGGATAGTCGGCGGTGTGTTCCCCCCATCATCAAGAGTCGAGTTGGACGCAAAGAGAGAGCCCAGTAGATCGGCTTTGTCTTTTGCGGCATGGGCCAGTGAGTCGTGCACAGGGAGCAGAGATGGGAGAGATGGCTGGCAGAAGTTCCCTTGGACAGCCTTGGTGAAAGACAAGAATGCACGTGTTCCCGAAGGAAGACCTGTTGTAGCACGAAGTCTGCAGCCATCTGGACGTGGTCGATCAGTCGGTCTGTGTCGGCATTACCGTTATGGGACTTATAGAGGCACCCGTAGACGGGCGGATGGTCGTCGCTGTCTACAAGTAGCCATAAGATGGACAGATCCGTACCTTCAAGGCTGCCGAGGCGTCGAAAACAGATGTCCTCTCTGAAGTACGCAAATTCCAGCCCGGGGTACAAAAGAGTGTTCTAATTTGTACCCTGGATAGGAGAGATATGAAGCATCAGCCGGAGAGTACACCTGTGTCTCGGTTAGAAAGAGCAAGGCCGGCTTCGAGGTTTCCATATGGTAGTGGACGGCGTTAAGGTTTGAATGAAGTCCTCTGATGCTGGTACCCTCCTGGGGTAGTGTTATATTTAACACCGCCAGCATGTTAAGGGAGGGGGGGCGGAGTGGGCTTCCGGCCATCTGCACTCACCGGACGAGATGCAGAAGGAAAGCTTCTACTTCACGCTAGTCTTCTGTGAGGTCGTCGTACCACCCCGGTTTGAGCCGGCCCATACGTGCAACAGCAAAGGCTGCTCCGTGGCTCTACCATTGTTAAAACTTTTCATTAATTATTAACTCTGCCATCAAATATGATGTTTAACATCTGCCGGGCGTGGCGTGACGGCCAACTTTTTCATATCTTGTTTTATCTCTTATGTTATAATATAATTACGTTTCAAAATATGGGTATGGTCCATATTTAATACCTTGATGAGGTTGTGTGCGTGGCATCTGCGTCTTACAATCGCGCTAACTATATTTGTATGCGTGTCGTAGGGATACCAATTCAAAGATTTTCACCGTTATGTGGGGAAAATATAGGGATGTTGTGCATGTGGTTGTATTTGCTTTTTATTTTCGTATTTCGTACACACATTCATACCAAGTAGTAATGTACTTGGTCAAATACAATATATTATAAGAATTTACATGCTCTACAATTAGATGTTTGTTTTAAGAAATGCATTATGTTGTTGTCATTCTCAATATTCTTTTCTCTAGTTTCTAATTTCTGCACCGATTTCTTTTAAATTTAATAATTGAGAATCCATTTGAGTTAAGTCCTTTGTCCATATAATCCATTTGGTTTACGGATATGAATTCTTCATGAAAACCATTTTGAAATCTCATTTTTGAATCAATTTGTATAAATGGCAAGAAACTAGTTAAATTATAAGCCTAATAAATCACCACGATTCCTTTATCTAGGGTTGTAACGGAATCTCGCCTCCGTCTCCGTAAGTACGGAACTTCCGCGAAAAATCGTACCTCGTACCGAGGAGCGATAGTGGTGAGATAGAGGTGAAATACGAAGTCTGGCTGACATGCTGACAAACATAAGTGATGACGAAGAGGGAACAGAAAGTGACAGCACGGTTACCAATAACAACCTCGTGGTATGGAAATCGCTAACTAATGAATATAATAAGGAAAACCGACTCCAACCAAACGATCATCCATTATTGTGGCGGAAATATAACAATAAATATAAAGATTTATCTCCCATCGTTCGCTCTTAAGTACTTACCATCGCTGTGAATTTG